TTTGTTTTTTTAATGTTCATCATTAAATTCTTTATCATCATGAATATTTATATTAATTTCATTTGTTAAATACATATCATTATCAATAAAATCAATTAACAAAATAATTAAATGAATATTTTAACAAAATTTGTTCTGTATTTAAAATTAATTTAATTAAATAATCGTTTATTTATATATTAATTTAATAATAAAAATGGTGTTAGATGAACGAGTTATATCAGATAATGATTTCGATATTAATATAAATAATTGATTTGATAAATATTTATTTTAAATTAATATATTAATAAGATATATTGAAAGTTGTAAAACTGACAAATAATAAATTGAATTTGTTGCTGATAGAATTATTGTTGGTGTTTGTGTTGTTGATGACGATGATAATTTTCATTTTTTAAATAAACGTTTCTTTAGATAATTTTCTCGAATAATTATTTGCTGAATTAAAATTGCCAATGTTTATAAATTAATTGTGAAAAATTTCGTTTTTTCATATGAATAAGAAAATAAATATTCAATTGATTGATAATTCTGATTTCTATTTAATTCTATATTGAATAGCTAATAAATGATTATAATAAATAGTTGTTTCATTTGAAGAATTTATTCTTAATAATCTTTGTTCACATAAATCAATAATAGTTATAAATAATGATTGTTGTTTATCACTCGTTTAAATATAATTTGTTAGAAAATAATGTTGAAAACATTCTTTAACAAATTCAGGGCACGATGAATGATATGAACATAATTCTAATAAACGTTTTGGCATATCAAAGATTTGTAAACCAATAAATGAAGAATATAAAAACAAACTAAAGAATTTAGTTAGAAATTTTGTTTTACAATGTAACCCATCAATTATTCGAAGAAACTGAATAAAAATCATTTCTCATCATCGTGGAATAGAGATCGTTAAGCTTTTTTTTCTGATAAAACTTAGAACAGTTATTCTCTCTTTTTTTTTTATCAAAAACTCAATTTCGAACCGGCCATAAAGTACATGTGCAATTAGAGACATGATTTGACTCAAAACATCTCAATCTTATATAGTTACTCAATAAAAGAAATTCTTTTCCTTGACTTTCTAGAAAACTAGCCGAAGTGATGCCCACTGTTTAAGCTCATACTAGGTTGACAATGACGTCTCGGTAGGACTAGAAAAATCCAAAAAGAGTTTGCTCCCATGGATCTCCGGAGCAGATTTATGATCGTTTTACTGGATCGAAAATTTCTTAAAACTGTCATAACTAGCCTCTGGAGGCCCATGGGGATGAACTCTTTTAGGGTTTTTCTAGTCTTACAGAAACCTCCGTTGTGAACTCAATATAAATTGAAACTAGGAGTATCGCTTCGGGTAGTGTTCCTTGTTAACGTAAGAGAAAAGGCTAGTTTCCTCAATTCTGAATGTTTACAGTCGCCCTCTAACGTTTATCCAATAGGGCTGAAATTTTTTCTCATAGATATTGATAAGTATTCTTCAGAGATAAAATTCACTGTTTTCCTTTTTCCACGTACTCTATATCCAAACAAATAGATATTCATATGATATATCCAAAGAATACGATATAATTATGTTAGATTTATTAATAATATTATTTACCTATCTGTTTGTTGCATTATTCCTGATAATGATGTTAATTAACTTGTTAATAAATCTGATAATAATTTTAAATAATCATTTAGTTGGTTGTTGATAATAAATGTTCTATATGATCCATTTGAAAAATCTTTCTACATTGATTTATTTGTCTACCCATGTAAATATTTTTTTGATAAAAACGCGTCTGAGTTGCGTTTCGTTGCGTGTCGATTCCAGCGAAGAAACGCAAAAAAGGCGTCCCCAGTGAAACATTTGCTGCGGCTAGATGCGGTTGGAGAAAATCGCGTCTACACGCGGTTGTAAAAAACCGCGTCTAGACGCAGGAAATGTTTCACTGGAGACGCGGTTCTAAAACAAATTGCGTCTAGACGCGGTTTTCTCCAACCGCGGCTAGACGCAAGAAATGTTTCATTGGAGACGCGGTTCCAAACCAAATTGCGGTTAGACGCGATTACAAATTAAATCGCGTCTAAACGCGTTCGATTCGACATTCAAGATTTTAAAATAATATTGCAATCCGTCTCAGGTTTGAACTGAGTCGCCATCGATATCCCCTAACGATGGCCTTTACCTCACTATAGGCGAACGGAAGGTTGAAATGTTGATTTATCTAAAACGATAGAAATGAGATTAGAACAAGTGAACTAGCAATTAAGAAGCAAGTATACATACCATGAAGCCACATGTGACCACAATCGTTGTCGAATGAAACAGAAAGTATATATGAATCGTGACTTCATATCTATATTATGTACAAATGTATTTATCAATAGAACGTTTTCTGCCTAAATTATATCTCATTTGTTAATATTGATATTCTTGTATGAAAATAAACTTGTATAAAATAAATTGCGTATATTAAAATTTCTTTAAAATTTTCGGCAACTTTTTCTTTTGCAAATAATTTTCATTTATTTTGTCGTGTAAGAGTATTATTTATAATACTAAATAGTGCCTATCTTCTAGAACTTATTATATAGCTATTATATTTTATCAAATATCATGTACTTTTTTCGTCTTTCTTTTTTATTATATAAAAAAGCGTTTACCAAAGCTTTTTTCAAAGCATGTTAACATAGAAAGATTTTTTTTTAATTTCTAAAATGTCATCTTCTTTGAGGTTTTTTAGCAAATTTATATACGTCATTAGAGCACTTAGTACAGAGTTTGCGAGTGTTTTTCTTATGTATACACAATGGATAAGGTAGAGACGATGTGTACGTCTAGGAAACGTAGAAAAGAGGTTTGTCTATTAGATTTTCTATTCGGGTTTGAGTATCTTCTTGTGTATCTTCTTTCCGTAACAATATAAAATGAAAACAACACACACGATTCGAAATGAATTGAACACTACGCCAACCATGACATTTAAACACTTGAGGTACAGTTATTTTATGACAAAGTATATTGTATCATCAAAACAAAGTTCAAATTGAGGACATAATTTGTAACTTAAATTTCAAAAAGAGTTTTTTGATCAAAAAGTGAAAATAAATTTTATCTTTCTTATTTTAGAGCAGACTTCTTGATCTACGGTTTGATGCAAAACTTTTTTATATTTATCCCTTATTTTGAAAACAGGCTATCGATTAGTAGAAATAGTACAGAGTAGAGAGATAGTCTCATTATACTAATGGCCACTCGTATTACTTTTTTCATACATTAAAAGATGAAGTTTCTAAAGAAATTTATTATGCTACGATAAAAACATCTTTCTCTTATATAAGTACCTAAATCTTTAAACCAAACATTTCTTTCTATTCTTGCCAAAGTCCACCAGAGTATAGATAATAAAATTTTATGTCTTCCTTTAAATAGTTTTTGGTCAATCATGTATAGATGCACTCTCACGTAAAATCACATCCAAATGCGTCTAAACAGTATTATTACCTGCGTACAAACGCGGTTCCATAAAAAATGTGTTAAGCAACGGCTCAGATCTCCATCTGACCGCGTCTTGATGCGTTCTATCTTAAACCGCATCCAAACGCGCTTGAAAAATTTTAATAAAACGCGTTTTCATGCGGCCTCGCAAAAAAATCGCGTCCAGTCGCGATTCAAAATCTCCTGCGGCCGCGTCTAGATGCTTTTTTATTTTTGGTCGCGTTCAGACGCGAATAGAAATCGATTGTAACCTCGTCCGAACACGGTTTCATTTACAATCGCGTCTAGATGCGTTTGAAAATTTTCTTCAGTTGCGTATAGACGCGACTGTAAACGAAACCGCGTTCAAACGCGTTGAAAATCGATTTTTACCGCGTCTGAACGCGGTTTCATTTGCAATCGCTTCCAGATGCATTCGAAAATTTTCTTCAGCTGCGTATAGACGCGATTGTAAATGAAAACGCGTTCAGACGCGGTGAAAATCAATTTTTAGCGCGTCTGAACGCGGTCTACAATGAAACTGCGATTACACGCGTATATTCTGCGTCTGGTGTTTACATGGGTATTAGCATGATTTATTTCTATTTCTATTTATAATTGTACAGATTGTTAATAAATATTTTCAATAAAATATTTCTTCAATATTATTTGTTGATGATAATAAATAAAATAATTTTTCTCGACAATAATGCATAAATAGCTTCAATTGATTTTAATTTATTTTCATATTTTTTATAATCATTATTATCATTTATTTTATTGTCGAATTAATCTTATACGTATATAACGTGCTATAATTGGTGATTGTAAATCATGTAAAAAAAAAATGTTTGATTTGATATATCTGTTGAATAAAATAAACGTTGACAATCAATATTTTCACTATATGATCAAAAATCTAAAGTTAATTATGCTAATTCTATGACATGTTGGTATTTATATATAAGTTAATGTAACATTGTTCTCCAATATATAAAATAAAATAACGTTCTACCACCACCTTAGAAACGATAAATTATAAATTGATATTATGGTAAATATTGTCCATGATGAATATTATTTAATATTTGTGTTAATATATAATCAATTGCTATTAATTGTTGATAATGTTTGTTGATTGTTCTATTGTTGATGTTGATTTTGATGTATGTATAAGATCAGTAAATAAATTTGAATGTTTTTTTTAAAAATATTGATGTGTTGTGTTGTAGCACCTTTATTTTTTGTTGCAATTAATTTTAATTATTCTTTTTGTAAAATTTGTTTATCTTTATATATTGATGGTAAATGTGTCTAACCATGGTGATGTTCCAATTAAATTATTATTTATTTTATTATCAATTGTTGTTGTTGTTGATATGGGATATGATGAAACAATTGTTGATGTGTCTAGAATTTGTTGGTCCTCTTGAATTTATTGATGTTGGTTACATCAATAAAGTCTATGATGATATCTATTTATATTTGGTGTTGGAAATGAAAATCGACATGGATTTGTTGAATTAACTCTTTATATAGATGGTGGAAGTGGTGGTGGTGGCATTGAATTTGATTTTGTTGGATAATAAAGATGATCCGAACTACTATCGGAATTTTTAAAGAAGGCCGGTGGAAGAAAAGCTTATAACTTTTGAATGGAAAGTCATAGCGACCTGCGGTTTTCAGAGTTCAATAGACGACAGTCGGGGGCACATGCCAACGTGGGAACGTGATCTTTCTAGGTACTTTTTCAGACCAGTTGTAGTGTACGAAATTAAAGACAAATTGGTGAATTTATTAGAGGGAATTTTTTTAGCTAGGTTTGCACCCCGACATGCCCTCTTCACATTGGTATCTAAGCAATTTCTAGATTTCGCTTCCTTGAAAGACCCGAGGCCTTTTAAGAAAGGAATTTCATGTAGGACATTTTTCGCTAAAAAGCGAAAAAAATACTTCGAATATAGGTTTTCGATTATGCTGATCAACATGAAAGAGTTTGTTTGGATATTGAATTGTAGTTTCATGTAGAGCTCATGTACACATGCACATGAAAATGCTTAGTTTCGAGTTCCTTTGATAAGCAAAATCTGCGTTCCTTACGGTCTACTTGATTCTATCGTGTTTCTTTTTTTCATCAGTCTTTTAGAACAACAGAACTTGCATTACTTGCTC